ATAAGAACATTAAAAAAATCAGTAATAGATTTTTCTCTTGCCTGATTAATATAACCTAAATCATTAAAAAGTCCAGAACTCTGTATACATATTTTAAGTCACCTGCCAAGTGATGTACCTGCTACTAATTGCTCCCTTAAGGTTACGAAGCAGACTGCCTTTCCCTTGAGCTTTGTGTGTCTTCCGCTACCTGAGGTAGGACCTAGATCAATTTTGGTGCCCACAGAGAGAAGAGGTATCTCAAAACCACCTTCTAATGGATTCCATGGATTTGGTAACTGGTTTAATCACAAGCACAAGAAACTGTGTTTTTGTTACTTGTACATTCTTTTATGCTACGAGTGTTGGTGACTTTTAGAATGCCCCTTGGAGTTAGCTTGCCTACCGTTCTCTGTGTAGACCTGACACCTACAGATGGTGAACGCACTTTGCGTCAGGACCTAAAGAGCAACTGCCAGTCTCTGAGGCACCTGCTCCCTTTTCTCCTCCCCGGACCTTGCTCCTGCTGCCTTGGGCATCTGAGGAGAGGAGCCTCTAACTCCTCTGCTGGGGTGTTGCGCCCTTCAGCCATGCTCGTTTGTACTCACAAGGTACAGACCCTGCCTGAAGTTTTCTGCCTATGGCTTCATCCTAGTATTCCCTAATCTCTCTCTGCCCCTCTCTGTTTATTCCCCTCCTTTATTTCTAGGCACTCAAGGCACTGTCTCCTTCATTGAACATGATTTTACTTATTTTAATAACCACTCCTGAATCGCCCCTTTCTCTTCCCAGGGAAGCTCCCTTCCCTCCCTCCCTGTCATTTGTTTTCACTTCTTTTAGTGGCTGTGTGGTGGGCAGTTAGACAGCCACATAGCCAGGACGCTGGGCCAGGCACCGAGGGTCACCACAGCAGAGAGCCCCGGGTGCCTACCAATGGACAAAACTGGGAAAACAAGGACCTGCTCCCAGGGTTACCTCTCCTCCCCTAGCATATCACTCACTGGCCATGTGGTTTAGACCCCCTGACCTTTCATATTGCTGGTCATGCAGCTTGGACTCTCCCCTGACCCGTCCTCCCCCTGTATGTCACTAGCCATATGGTAGATCCACTTAGAGGAGGAACGAAGGGCCAAACAGTGGCCTCGTGTGACTCCCAAGTGGGACATTGCAGGACCACTTCCTTAAGCATTAACCTGGAATGATGATATCTAGGCCTTTGTTGTGTTTCAGCTCCAGGCCCAGAAAAGCAGCAAAACCAGACAAGTGACTGCACTCTTAGCCAGAACTCAAGTACCAAGGTTACCAAACAGCGGTCTAACATCTGGTGCCCTTTCGCCAACAGCAGCTGCTGAAAGTGGGAGCTCAGGCAGAATTCTCAACCTGCCTATGGCAATGGAGGCGAACTATGAAATGTGAGGCCAGAGCTTTTGGCCAAGCCAAGCGTACTAGTTACAAGCATTTGCTGTACAGCCGGACTAACTTGAGTCCAAGTCCAGTTTGGCCCAACACTAGGTGTGTGGCCTTGGAGAAGCCACTTAAACTTGGTGCTTCAATTTTCTCATCTGTAAAATAGGAATAATAATGTACCTACCTCACAGAGATCTAGTGAGGATTCAGTCCTCACTTATGTCAGCCCTCTGCACGGTGTAAATGCTTAGTACACATTAGCTATCATTAGCCCTGCATCCCAGCATTAGCAAATTATTCCCTTTGGTTGTGTGTTTTGCTCACCCTGCAGGTTCTCTTCAAACAAGCACATGTTCCCGAGGGGCAGTCTGCCTACTCTATGGTTTTGCTGAGGGCTCAGGAGGCCTCTAGGGCTCCCTGGGGCCTCCCTGTAGGGCATCCAAGGGCAACAGAAAGGTGACAAAGCAGGAGAGCTCCCAGAAGCTCGCTCCATGCTGTGTCCTCACTTCCGATGCACAGTGAGAGCTAGCATGAACCTGTCAGCCTATCAGCACCTCTGTGCTTTGACACATGTCCGGGGTTGGGGAACGGCTTTCTATAAACCAAGTCCTGCAGCTAATCTCCAGGCAGCTGTCTGTAGGGCCAGGGGGGCAGGAAAGGAGGCTGGGCATTTTCTGAGCCTTCTCAGAGGAAGTCATTTGTTGAGGATGAAGTGATGCTACTGCATACCAGCTCTTTCTGCTCCAGTATCACCTCCTGCAGTGAGCGTGTTAGCCCTCTCCCACACTGGGCTTGTCCTGGCCCCCTCCCTCATCCCCATGTGGCCACAGCAGAGGTGGCTGCTCATCCCAGATTCCCTGCCAGGGGCTCCATCCTGCCGCACCAGAGCCCCCAGAACAGTGGTTCTCCCATAGCTCTCCTACTTGATTGTGTTAAAGATGCTTCCATAGAATTTGGGTCTCACAAGGACAGAAACACACCTTCTTTCCCCCATGAAAGATGTGTGAATTCTAAAACATCCTGTCACTTTAGGCACCATTTAAGGAAGTCTTAACATTTCAAACCTTATCATCAAATGTCAGTTTTATTGCCAAACACTTGGTAAACAAGGCACTCCCTTCTTTCCCCGCCAGCCACAGACCGGGGGCCCATCACTGCAGAGCCCCTTCCTTCAGAAGGGCTGGGGGACCGATACACAGCCAGGGATACAGACAACCACGAAGGGCTGCCATCCAAGCCTGGTGTCCGCCAGCAACTCCTGGCTGGCGTCCAACCTACCCCATTCCTTCCCTCACCACCCCCCCAAGTTCAGGAGGGTGCTGCCCACAAATTGAGTGCTATCTGCCAGGGACTGTGCTGCTTTCCAAGGTTAGCTCATTTAAGGTCTCCCTACCAAGTAGAATTTATCGTCCTCATTTTACAGAAGACAAGAGAGCGTGTGAAACAGTAGGCAATGGCTTGAGTAAGTCAAGACACTCGCTCCTTTGCCAAATGCTTCGCCTCGAAGGTATGGGAACTCCATGGACTGGATTTTCAGAATTTTATTGATATCGGCATTCTGTCACACTGTGTTCAAAATATCAACAATTTGGTTTAGAAATTCCACTTCCCAGTCAGCCTCTCACACTAAGTAGGAGGAAGGAGAAACGTAGGGGCAGCATGAAGATCCTTAGTCACCCACGTGGCTCAACAATGGGACTCGGAAATACGGACGTCATGCCAGAGCATGCAGGCCAGAGCCTGGACTGGTCTTGGGGCTGCAGGGAGGTGGGATCAATGGACCGTGGCCAAGGGACAGCTCAGTGTTTTCCAGAGCTTACCCTTCCCTGGAAGAACAAGGTGCCTATAGGTTCCCTCCCTCCGCAAGAATGCTGGTGCTGGGGTCGGTGGAAGTGTGTGCATGTGTGCGCATGCCTGTGCACACTCAAATACAGTCAATGCAGGCCATCTTTCAGGCAGCCCTGTGAGTTGTGCAAGCACCTGACACAAAAGCGTGCCATCGATACCATACTAATGTAGAGGGAGAAAGGCATGAGCACTTCAAAGTGGCACCTAATTTAAAAAGCACTTTAGACCATGTTTCTTGCTCAGGTGGGACATGACAATGCTTGATGAATCACACTGCAGACAAGATTACCAGTGTTCCTTGGAAAGACACTGCCCTCCCTTTCCATATCCTAACATCTGCTACTGACCACACCCTCTGTCCCAGCCCTGACCTGTGTGAAGCCAAAGCGGCACTGGGGACAGCAGGAAGGGGCGTGTGGGAGGGGCATGGGGCTGGGACGAGGCGCGCGTGGACAGTGCATCAGAGCTCTGCGGGACACAGCACATACGTGAGCAGACAAGAGGCTCTTCTGCAAAGCACGGGATCAGGTGTAAGACTGTAGGGCTACACCTGAAACCCAATGCCAAACGTCTCACATATAAAGCACAAACAACACTTCTTGAACTATAAGTTTCTCCTGGGTACCTGAAAGCCCCTTTCAGCTGGTGTCAAGAAATACTAAGTTTCCTTATGTTCCGCTGCCAAATGTGTCCAGGGCGGAGATGTAGTTGCATGGTGGGAAAAAAAGCAAGTTTCCACAGAAACCCAGGCTTTACCTCAATCATCTAGAAGTCTTAAGAAGTGGGGTATTCTGGTTCACTAAACTTTCTCATCGATTCAGTATTGATCAGAAATCTTTTGTTGGGACCTTGAAACTGGAAATGCCTCTGAAACAATGAGTTTCTTGGCTCACCAAGAACAGTTGGATCTGGATGCGGGAGCTGGTCCCATTTTGGTGATCGGGGACTGGTTCTCTAGGTCCATGGTCATTATTTATGATGCCTCTGCCAAAGGCAACACAGATCAAATGTCCGTGAAGGTAATTAACCTTTCTCTTTTTTACTGTAATTTAAAGCTGATTAAGTACATGACCTATGAATTTGACTTGATTAATCAAGGTTCCTCTGAGGGAAAGAGAACAACGATGGCTTTGATGATGGTTGTTCGGCAGGTAGAGTGTCCTTAGGAAACTGAAAATGCTTGAAATTCGTGCTTGAAGGCCCATCAGGTCTGCCCGTGAACAGATACCAGGGTGGGAAGGCAGGTAAGCCCAATGGGGAAGTGAAGGGCTCTGCTCATGACATTGCAGCATGAAAGGTTCCCGGGGCCAGTGACCAGAGAAGCTGTCTCCTCAGCAACAAGAGTGGTTAGTGCCTGGCCCACAGCAGGTACTCGCTACAAACCTGTTGATGACTGGAGACCTTGATCTATTTCATACAGATTTACCCTGGTCACCGTTCATTTGTCCATCACCCATCCATCGTCTCTCTCTATCCAGTATTTATGTGCTTATCCTAAACCATGGGCTACAGGAGAAGTAATGGTAAATGAGATATAGCCCCTTATAAAGAGCCAGTCACCCTGTGTTTCAGTGGATTTTTTAAAGGAGGGGGATTAAGGGGTGGGTGTCACAAAATGGCACGAACACAAGCTGCATTCTATATGCCTTTTAACCCACAGACTCTCACTGCTCCCGTTGAGGACTCACAGTCTGTGTGTTTCTGAAAGGATATTTCCACCTTCCTGTCCAGGTGTGGTGGAAGCATTGGTCACTGTCTGTGCAGGAGGCCGGGCTAGCTTCACGGGTAATTCTATGTGAGACAATGTTCTGCTTGTTTTCTCCCACCCAGGTGCTAACCAGGCCCCTCCCTGCTTAGTTTCTGAGATCAGACGTGATCAGGCGTGTTCGGGGTGGTATGGCCATAGATGATCCTGCTTGTTTTCTTAGCAATGAACCAAACTAAAGCTTCTTCCAATACTTTCCACTCCCCCTCACCTCCCTTCACAGGATGCTCCAAGAGGGCAAATGTGAAGGTCTTGGGCCACTTCAAGGTTGCAATGTCCTAGGTGAGAAGAACTTCCAGCATGGTGCTCTCAGGAGAATTCGGGGCACTTGTTAGGATGTTCACATCAGGAGAAGCAAGTCATTCTCCACCATCATCTCAGCCACACGTACACCTCAAATTTCCTCTTGCTGTATTTAGAATAAAAAACACTTCTCCGTTCTGGCACCATTTCAAAGAGAAGAACATATATAAAGGGCCCAACAAAGAATCTTGGAAATTGCTCCTCCTCAAAGCCCAGTGAGATTGCTCCTCCTAGGACACAGAGCTGGGTCTGGGTTCCCGGGGATGCTCTGAAATGTGGAAGGACCATTCTTTACTATTAGTAAGTCAGACTTCTGTGTTTGCTTGAATTCTGCCTAGCTATATGTTTGTGTTTGTCGAATCCAAGTTTCTTTCCTTGACGCAATGCTTTTCTCCAAGTGCAAATCTCTCATTTGGTGACATTCCGATCTGAGCTGTTGCGTCCCACATGCCACTGTGACCTGCACATGCTTTTCCAGACCATTCCTCTCTGCACTAGGTCACAACGGTACAATACATTTCTCCAGGCATAGTACAGTCACATGACCCTCTTTCCTGTCTGACTGCACCTGCAGTTCCAAAGTCACAGCACTGAGAGCACCGCATTCTGAGATCATGATGCCCTTGGCCATGAAACCAAGCCACAGAGATGCAATCTACCCAGTCACTGGGTAAGTCAGAAAGCAAACTGAATAAAGGGCTAGGTGAGACCCCCTATGTACCTTTCACTGCCTTATCCAAAAACCAGATCGTGTCCTTGTCATATAAATGCACCTACTTTGGAAGTAAGTAGTTTTAGGTAGAACTTTCAGTTAACGTTTCAAAAGGCTGCTAGCAAATCAGGAGCCACAAGGTAATAAGCAGTATCACATTAACACTTTAGTTAAATACCCCTAACTCACAAACAATGCCAATTATTACAGCTCACTGACATCCTGGTTACTGACAAGAAGAAAAATTGAGGGAAAAATTCACCCTCTCAAGATATAAACCTTGAACTCCTCTTTTCCTGGCTCCAAGACATTTTAAGTATAACACCTAAGCACCACTTCTTTCTACACAACACTCCTGTGCCCACCTGCACATGATGGGGGGATTACTGATGAAGAGTGTGTGTGTGTGTGTGTGTGTGTGTGTGTGTGTGTGTGTGACACCAGATGTTTTAGGGACCATTCTGTCCAGCACAATATACACGAAATATGCCTAACATAGTAGTTTTCTACCCTGATGCCTTTTTGGTAACTTTTATTTCCTGATCCCGATTTAATGTAAAAAGTAGTTTTATTTCCCACCTTCCCCAATGAAGGCAGAGTCAGTGGGTGGGTACTGCTGGGGGCTGATTTCAGCTTCACAGAAGGGAAGCATTCTAGGGTCAAAGTTGCCTGAAGACAACTGAGCAGGACTTTCCAAACCAGGGACTGGCCTGGCCTTACAAGTATTTTCCCCTAGAAGCTACATGACCGCATGTCCGTGACGCCCTGCTCCTTCCAACGCTAGGAATCCATGTTCCCAGGAACAGACTAAGTCATCAGCAGCCCTCCTGCCTCCCAACTCCAGGTCAAGAAAGGCACAGAAAAGACCAACAAATAATACTGAGGTGGCGCTTTGGATGCAGGAGACCTTAAGGTACCAGGAGTACTGACAGCCTCATCTGGCCAATGAGGAAGGTGAGGCCCAGAGGCCGAGGAAACACTCTGTCACAGGGGAGAGGGGATTTAACGGGGAAGAGGAGGGTGAAACACACTGCTGACAATAGTGAGCACAACTCTCAAGAGTGGAGAGGCAATTCCAGCTCTTTAGCCATCACAGTCAATTAATTGCCCTCAGAGCCATTGTGCTGATTCCTTCACAGAGGGAATCCTATTGTCCGAACTCCCTGGTGCCCACCCTTGGGGCTGCATCCAGGGCTGGAGGTCTAGGCAGGATGGGCCTGGGCAGGCACATAAGGTAGCTCTGCTTCTTAAGGCATGGCTGCTGTGAGGCATGAGCTCCACTTTGGGAAGGTGGGCATCAGACCCCGCCTTCCCTGAAACTACCCTGCAAGAACCTTAGTGAAGTGGAACACTGTTGCCTGAGGAACCTGCCTCCCCCAGGGGCTGGGGGCTTCCACGAAAGCTAAACAGTATTACCAAACCATCTGATGTGTGTGTGTCACTTGGGAGAATAGGAGAGAGAAAAAAGACGAATCGATCATTATTTGCAGATGATTGTCTAACTAGAAAAGCTAGGGGAATTGATGAAAAAAAAACCCCAACAACTATCAGAACTAAGACCAGAATTCACTCAAGTGGCCGATTAAAAGTCAAGCATACAAAAATCAATAGTTTTTGTTAGGTCACTTGGGTGTGGCCTTACACCTTAGAAACACTGTGCTTTTCTGTGGGGTCTCCAAGCTTTGAGAAACTTGCCATGTTTTAAAAGGTGGAAGTGAGCCTGGGAGATGCCCGCTCAGCTGCAGTAAGGGCCGTGGTCTCAGGCCCCAATACGTAGAAGGTGCCCAGGGTGACTGCTGCAGAATGGGGCAATCACCCCTGTACTCTCTCCTAGGGGCACCCTCCCCGCCCCTTCCCGACCCAGCCCCTGTCTCCCAGCTCTTTTCTATTTCAACCCAAAAGACACACAAGGAAGCTTGGCAAAAGCCGGTGCGGGAGCCAACCACGGATGAGTATGGTCAAAGATTGTGCTCTGTCATTTCCATACGATATCAGTTTTTTAAAACAGAGGCTGCGTACTGAAAGTTCTGGCGTGTTGGACCTCTTATTGCCTCATGGGTTAGAGGCCTCGAGAGGTGCTTGTGCTGCGCCCCAACTTGGGACTCCCATGGCCTGGTCAAAGTGTATAAGGGAGGCCCACAGGGATGAAGGTGGCAGTCTGGCCCTCGAAGCACCGCGGTCATTTGCGGTCCAGGCTGGCGTGCAGCTGGGCCTCCCTCACCATGCGGTCGAAGGAGCGAGTGTTGGTTTCCTCGCGCACCTTCTCGCGCACGTGGAAGGAAGCCCGCGCTGTGGAGCGGGCGCTCTCGAGCGCACTGCGCCGCTCCCGAGACAGCTGTTCGCTGCGCTCCAGCTTGCGCCCGATGGCTTCGAGCAGCTCCCGCCGGCGGCAGTCTTCGTCCTTCTCCACCTTCTCCTTTTTGGCACGCTGGGCTCGCTCCTTCTCCAACCTACTTTGGCCCACGCGCCGCGCCTTTTGCTGCACCGCCTCCTCAGCCACTTGTGCCGCGTGCTGCAGCCGCCGTTCCCCTGCCCGAGCCAGCGCTTCAAGGTGTGCCTGATGCTCGCGCTCTTTGCGCTCGGCGGCCTCCTTGGCCCGCCGGCCCTGTAGCTCCTCCTTCCGGGCCCGCTCCCGCAGCTCCCGGGTGCGCTGCTCCACCAAGTGCTCGTAGTTCTCCTGCGCGCGACCCATGCTGGCTTCTAGGGAGCTCCGCAGGCCCTCGCGCTCCTCGAACTCCTGGCGGGCCCGACCTAGAAGAAGCGCCTGGTGGCGCGCCTGCTCGGCCCGGCTCAGCTCCCGCTTCTCCCGCTGCAGCTGGTCCCCCTGCCGCTGTTTGGTACTAGACGCGCGCTGGGCTCGCTCTTTAAGGACTTGCTCGGCCCGCTCGCGCCCTTGCTTCAGGCCCTCCTCCCGCTGCTTTAGGTTCTGCTCTTGCTGCAGCTTGCGCAGTCGGTCCTCCCGGGCCGCGCGCTCTGCCCGCTCGCGTCGCAGCAGGCTCTGGCGCTCAGCCAGTTCCCGCCGCCGCTCCTCGCTAAGCTCCCACTGGCGCTGCCGCCGCCGCGCCGCCTCGCGCTCCTCGCGGCCCCGGCGGCCGCGCCGCTCCTCCACCTGCGCGGCCCAGGCTCGACGACCCTGCTCCAGGGAGCGCCGCTTCTCGCGTTCCTCGCGCTCCCGCCGCTGCTCGGCGCGCACGCGCTGCTGCTCCCATTGGCCGTGCGCGGCGGCGCGCTGCTCCTGCAACATTCGCTCCTCCTGGTGCCGCGCCAGCATCAGCGCCGCGATCTTCCGGTCGCGCTCTGGGACCCCGCGCAGTCCCCGCTCCGCGCGCACTTGGCGCACGATGCGCTCCACGTGCTGAGTTGTCTGCGGTGAATGGCTCAGATCGCCGAGACTAAAGCTGCGGGCTGTGAGTGGCACTAGGGCCAGGGCAGACGGGCGGCCCAGAGGGTTGGGGGCTGAGGATAGTGACCCCGCGGGGCAGCTGCTCCGGGCTGAAGCCCGCGGCCAGCGCAGCTCCCGAAGGCTCTCCCCGCTGTAGGATGATGACGACGCGCCGGACTCAGAACTGAGGGTGCCTTCTCGGCGGCGGGACAGTGAGTCTAGTGAGTGGCTCTTTCTACCCGCCCGCGAACTCGTGGGTGGAGCTTGGGGTCGGGCTGGGGACGGACTGGAGGATGCCTTGCGGGGAGCACGCGGTGCAGGTGAGGCCGGGAGGCTGGTGCTGCTGCAGCTGCTGCTGCTGCCTGCGCTGGGGGCCGAGGCTGCGGCGGCTGCGTGACCCAATGGCGTGAAGAGGCGCCGCTTTTCCTCGCGCACAATGCGCTCGCGCTCGGCTCGGCACTGCTGCAGCTTTGCGCGCCGCTCTGCCTCATAAGCCTCGTACAGGCCGGTGGCCACTCGCATGGACCGGCCTGGGGCCTCGCGCACCAGGTCGGCCAAAGCCCGTGGCAGCAGCTCCACTGGTTTGACGGCACAGCGGGCACAGGCCTCGAGAGAACGAGGGCTGGTCAGTACATAGCGGCTGCCCTCGGCCTCTGGACAGTCGAAATTGAAGAGGTCGAGGTGCAGCAGAGGGGATTGCTCCCGCCGCCCATCTTCTGTTGCGCACTGGACTTCAACCTTGCGGGGCACCGCCGCGGAGGCCGAGGCCGAGGTCGAAGAGGCCGCGGGCTGCTGGGCGCCCTGTGCATCAGGGGGCACGGACGCAGTGGCTCCGTTTCCTCCTGAGCCTCCGGGCTCAGCTTCTGCCTTCTCTTCTTCGGGTACCGGGTCCACCATGGCGGAAAGGTGTCCTTTTGCGGAGTCTCTGCGGATGACAAGGGAGGGACATCGCAGGACACATTTCTGAGCAGTTCCCTTCTCCCCATTCATGCCCCCCCCTCCCCGTCCCAACTTAATCCGCTTTGGATTTAGGCTCAGAGGCCGGGTGGAACGTAATTCATCACACGGATGCACTGAAAACCGAGGCAGTGGGGGCGGGCGTTCGGTGCTGGTGCAGAGAGAGCAGCCCGATCTCCCTGAGCCCCGGAGTTCGGGCAGAGGCCGTGGCCAAGTTCTCCAGGGCGTCTGGCCCGTTACATGCATCCTTCCTGCTGTAAATTAAAATGAAAAGATCGAGGTGCGGGGAGCAGCCGGCCAGGGAGGCGCTGGAGGATTCCTGGGAGGATTAGTCCATTTGTTTGTAGCTTAGGCGGGCGACCAGGGATGCAGCTTTGCAAGAACAAAAAAGGAAGAGGCCTGTTCATCCCCCACAGTGCTTTGCTGCGAGGACCCCATTTGCCTAAGGAAGAAGTTATGGTTGATTTCCCCCTGCCAAAGGAGACCCAGGCATGGGGCCCAGGGGTGATGGAAGAACTGAGAGAAATGCCTCCATCCTCCCCAAAAGGCCTCTCCGGGAGAGGCGATCGATCTTGCTCCTGCCATTTGGGTAGGGGTTGCTAGGAGCTGTGCCCGGCTCCTTCCTGACCCCCCTCCCGTGTTTGCCGGGGATGGAGAAGGCGCCTAGGTCCTCCCAGACGCACCGATCCCCTCCAAGTCCGATGCGCTGAAGGCACCATACACCCCGGTCTAGGCTCCAACACCTGCCCACAGTTACCCTTCGAGTCCCCCCCAGCTTATTCCAGTGAGGTGGATTCCTGGGTCTCATCCAGCCTCGCTGCTCCTGGGCTCCGGGCCGGCTCACTTACCGCAGGTCCCGGGCTTGGGCCCCGCGCCGAGGGCTTTTGTTAGCAGCTCGCCGCTCTCCCTTGCACCTCTTCAGTCCCCGCGCCGGCGGGGTCGAGTTGCCGCTGGATGCAGCCTCGATGGTGGCCCCAGCGGCCACCGCAGCCACCGCCAGCGTCTCTCCATGGGGCCCCGCACACGCTACCTACACGCGGGAGGGGGGGTGCGACAAGGTTTCCCTAAAATAACGCAGCTCCGCTCCCTTCCCTCTCACTGATTCTTAAAAAAGGAAGCGGTTCCATCGCTGCTGCATCCACCGCCGCCTCTCCAACCTTGCAAGTCCGGCTGGTCTTTCTACGCCCCTGGCGCCTCCTGGTGGACACTCATGGGTGTTGGTTTGTCCGCTTAGAGGGTGACAGAAAAGAAACTTAAAATAAGTAAGTATATATAATACATAAAATATAAAATATATGTGTAATATGTATTATATAATATTTCAATACTTCAAGTGGGTAGAAAGAAGGAATAGTTTGGTTTGTTTCTCAAGGGGACAGTGATTAACGGGGTAGAAATACGGCTCCTGATCCAAATTATGAGGTTATTTACAAAGACAAACTAAGAACATTCGGATAGGTTTGAGGCAGGCCTAAGATGTGCGACTAGTGTGTAATGCAGCATTTTAGGACTTCCTGGTTCAAGATAATACAAATTGAAACCAGCTAGTGCCATTTACTGAGTATTATTTTGAGACACCTCCTCTCTACCGCCCCCCTCCGCCCCCGCCCAGCGCCCACTTTGAGTGATGGTGGCCCAGGGAGACAGATGGGAGGAGTACTTGAGGGAGGGGTTGGAGAGTGGGTGGGACGTAACATTAGAAAGCATGGTGAACCACGTTGTTAGTAGCCTTGACATTGTCAGGCAGTGAGGTGGGGGCACAGATCTCTGAAATGTAGAATAAAGCAATACTCAGAGATAGCTTGGCTCTGGGTGTGAGGAGCAGTTGAGGGTCAAGGGTGACTTGTAGGAGCAATGAGGTGACTGGGTATACCACAGACTGAGAGCATGGGTCCAAGAGGGAGGACTAAGTGGTTGGTTTGGAGGGCCAGGGAAGGATGGGTACCTTTTGGACCACTTGAGCAGAAGGTGTTGGTGCTCAGCTGGTGATTGGGTTGTGTCGGAGGCCTGGACTGGACCTCGAGTTTAGGGCATCGTTACAGTAGTTGAGGTTCCCCAAACTAACAGTGAGTGAGATCCCCCAGGGAGGTCCGGGGGAGCGATGGGGAGGTGGGCAGGGCATTGATGGAGTGGCTAAGGGAGAAGGGGCCCAGAAAAGGGATCAAGGAGGATAGGCAGAAAGTATGGGCTCATGGACGCTGACAGTAGAGCACTTCAGAAGGAGGGTGTCCCCTATTGTTAAGGCCACAGAGGTCCAGCAGAGTTTGCCTGGAATTAAATGACCACTGAAACTAGGAGTGAGAGAATCTTTGCTGACATCAGCAAAAACTTCGGCAACATTGTACTGGGGGCTGATGCCAAACCACAGGAGGCTGAGAGGTGGGAGGTGAGAAAGTGAGTTACTGACTTGACATTTGGATGACTGTGTTACAGACTGAAGGGTCTGGGGTTTTGTACTAGTTCCATGTGAATAGGGTCACAGGTGCTGACAGAAGACATGAGACTCTTGGGTCAGAAATGCAGGACTTTGTTACCTGTGGTACAGAGGGCGGTATGAGGTTAATGTTTTTGTTGGTTCACCTCGCTCCCCAAGTCCCATGGAGCAATGAAGAGCTGGGCTCAGATAGAATCTGCACCTGCGGTGGGTATGTGTCACAGCTGAATGACCTTAAGCTTAGTAAACCCTAATCTTTTATTTTTGTTTGTTTATTTATTTGTGTATTTATTTATTCAAAAGATTTATATTTATTTATTTTTAGGGAGAGAGGAAGGAAGGGAGAGAGGAAAACATCAATGTGTGATTGCTTCTCAAGCGCCCCCTACTGGGGACCTGGCCTGCAACCCAGGCATGTGCCCTGACTGGTAATAGAACCAGCCACCCTTCAGTTTGCAGGCCGGCGCTCAATCCACTGAGCCACACCAGCCAGGGCTATTTGCTTATTTATTTTTATCCTTACCCAAGGACATGCTTATTCATTTTAGAGAGAGGGAAAGGGGGAGAGAGGAAGAGACCCACTGATGTGAGGGGTGAACCTGCTTCTTAGGCATGTGCCGTGCCCAAGAATCAAACCTGTGATTTTTCCGTTTATGGGGTGAGGTTCCGACCAAGTGAACCACACTGGCCAGTGCAAACCTCAATCTTTTCAAGGGGGCTCCTAGCAAACCTGTTCAACCTTTTTCCCAGTGAAAGGCTTAAGACACACTAATCATTCAAATGCCAGCTCAGTCAGGCTGTGTGTTTTGAGACAAGTTTCTTAGCCCCTCTGAGCTGCAGTTTCCTCAGAAGAGGAGTGCGTACTATAGGTGGAGATATACTGTCTATAGAAAATAATTACTGCCTAGAGAAAAGAATTCATTAAATATCCTGTCAGACCCTTTAATGTAATACCCCACTGACAGTTTGAGCTGCTGTGACAAGTTGTCATGCACCGAGTGGCTTAAACAGCACTTCATTTCTCACAGTTCTGGAGACTGGGAAGTCCAAGACCAAGGAGCTGGCAGATCTAATGTCTGGTGAGGACTCACTTTCTGGTTTGCAGGTGGCCATTTTCTTGTTGTTCTCTCACATGGAGGCAACCAGAGAGACAGAGAGAGAGAGAGAGAGAGAGAGAGAGAGAACAAACTCTCACCTGTTATTTCTTATAAGGGCACTAATACATCATGAGTCCTCATGACCTAATCACCCCCAAGGGCCTCATCTCCAAATACTGCTACACTGGGTTTCGGGTTCCAACACATGGATAGGAAAGCAGGTGGGACACAAACATTCAGTCCGTGGCACAGTTATTTTGGACGAAAACCTGTATACAGTGTAGACATTGTTATCATTTCAATTCCATCTAATCAGCCTCAACCATTCCCCTCAGTTCTGTGCCCTGGTGTTTATTCCCCTTCTTAGCATAATTCTGTTCCCAGAGTAGAGACCATTCACTCCAAAGTTCTAAATCAGGAGTTGTTGGTAAACTATGACATGTGGGCCACACCCACTGTCTGTTTTGTAAGTCAAACCTTATTGGAACACAGCCAATATATTTATAATATGTAAACAACTAAGCAGAATTGAATCGTTGAAACTGTGGAAGAATTAAATCATTTTGACAAAGATTGCATACTCTCAAAGCTTAAAATATTTACTATTAGGCCATTTACAGAAAAATATTACCATTATATCTGATATTACCCAATACTGGTAATACTGATAATTTTGGTAATACTGATATTACCAAAAATATTAGTCATTATACCTGTTATAATGAATGATAACAGCTTGTGGCAGCTATCAATTTATTGCCTGGCTCCTCTAGATTCACTCTTCACTGCCTGCTCTGGGATAATGGACTGTATGTATGCATTTTCTCCTTGACAGTGAGCACGATGTTAAGATTGGCCAGTAGAGGGAGCTGGAGGGATGTTGCCTGAGAAAGTGCTTCTGTTTCTGGTTCCTGTGTGCCATGCTTTTTGCTTTTTATTGCTACTGCTGTGTGCTGAGTGGTGCAGGTGTGCGGGCACATCCTGTGGCCTCCTGTTCCACCTGTATGCCTAGAGCAGTCTCTTGGTGACCTCGCAGCATAGGTGCGGGCCTGGTGAGCACCTTCCCGAATGAGCCTTTGTGGGGCTGATACCATGGGCTCTAAGCCTTGTGCCCTGACTGCCTCTCACCAGCCTCATCCTACCCTTGAAGATTATTTCCTGCTTGTCTGGCAACTGTAGAGCAACTATGCCCCAACACGATTCTGTGCTGCCCCTGTGGGCTGCAATCACTCAAAGCTTCCTTCTCCCATGAGGTCTGAACCCCAGCCTTTCTGAAGGGGCTCCCCTTCCAAGTTGTCCTTCCTTGATTGATCTCCCTCAGCCTGAGGGAACCCTTGTGAGTTCTCTTTATATCTTTATATTCACTCTGGGTTCACAGCTCAATGCCTCTTTATATTAAGCTTCCTGTGCTGAAGTTACTATGTGGTTTCTGTCTCCTGATGAGACCCAGAATAATACATGGTATAAAGTGTGGCCATTCCTAATTCTTGTGACTAAAGCCTTCAGAAGGAATTTAGGACACAAACCAACAGCTAAAGGTAATATTTGATCAAAATAAAGGGTTTTACTTCACATATTATTGAAGTAGTGTATGTTCATCACAGTAAGAAATTAAAAAATACAGGGCAAAAAGAAGGAAGGAAAAATCACCGAAGACCTCCAGCGTGGAGCGTAAGTGGCAGGGACGTGGAAGCAGGAGGACAGGTCCGTGTCTGTTCCTGCTCACAACTGCTGGGCCTGGCGCGTCGTGGGTCCTCCTGCTGGACGCATCAACGAGAGGGAATGGGGTTCAAGGAGAGCTACTTTTCCCGCCATATGCACCCCGAAACTGGCCTTGTCACAGTATTTTGAGCCATTAAGCCACTTTGAAAAATCTTCAGGGTTAGGTGTTTTATGCAGGTGAAGCTTACATTTGAGCACTGCCTTGGGGGACAGGAGAAACCAACCTGCAGGAAAACCGGAGGTGCATCAGCAAGGAAATCTAGAGAGACTCTTACAATTGATGTAATGGGAGTTTCCTGTCACTTCTGTAAGGGCCGCCCCCATCCCATGGTGTGTAATACTGCAGAAGCTTCTTCATTCCTGAATATGAACATGCACTGGGGGTGCTGCCCCAAAGGCATTTGTCTGTGAGACCTTTGTGGGTCTGCTAGAACCAGTGGGCTGCTGCTCAGGAGGCAGACTTGCTCCTAGTTCCTCTGCCTCTCCTACTGGGTCATCATGGCCTCTGGCACGAAGCCACCTGCCCGCTCAGCACATTGGGCCCTTCTCTTTTCCAAAGGGCCACTCTGAGGTTACAGCTCCTGTTCCCCACTATCCAACACACACACACACACACACACACACACACACACACACACACACTCCTTTTTTTAAAAAATTGGGCAATTCTTTTTTAAAAAGATTTTATTTACTTATTTTTAGAGAGCAGGGAAGGGAGGGAGAAAGGGAGGGAGAGAAACATCAATGT